ACACACACACACACACACACACACACACACACACACACACACACACACACACACACACACACACATGTTTGGTGTCTGCTGCTCAGACAGTGCTTTCAGGGCATCACGTGTCACAGTGTACCCTCTCCTGTCCCCTTCTCTTTTCTCCTCCTTCACTTTGACGTTCTTCCTTATCTCGTGCTTTCCTCCTCTTGCTCTGTGTCACTCCGTCACGCTCCACCTCTTCACTCCTTCCCTCCGTCTGTCGGCCCACCCACTGAAAAATGGGGGAAATTATCTTGTCTTTCAGCTGCACTTTTCTCTTCCATCCATCCTAACCTGTCTCGTCTTCCTGCTCCTGTGTCACGTTGCCTGGCTGTCCTTTCTTTTCTTTTTTCTTTCCCTAAACTCTCCTCAAGCTTTTTGTTTTTCTGTGTTCACCTTTTGTGCCTTGAGCTTTGATCATGTTGCAGTGTGTGTGACACTTCCACAACACAACAGTTCTCAACAGTACTGTATTTATTTAAGCTTCAGTGTGTGTGTGATAAGCTGAGAGTGAGGACTTCTGGGGGAAGAACACTTGTTTTATCCAACCAGCCCATACTTTGAGTTATTTTCCTCTTTAATCTTTAGCTGATGACGCCAAGCTGCAGCAGTGACCCTAAGTCATCATAGCAACAGATGATGTTGACGTCTTTTGTGTTGTTTGCTCTTTGCTTGTGTTAAGATGCACACAGAGAAATTATTGCAGTAAACACGTATTTGACACATCCTGTTCAACACAAACCTTCAGTCTGACCGGTGTGACCTTTTCTTTTTCCAGACTAAAGAGAGACATAATCCTGTCCCTCTTTAGTATTCACAGTGAAACTCATTCAGCTCTGTTTGTCACTCTTTTATTTCACACACGTCCCTGACTGATGCTCTGACGTGATGTTTGCTGTAGAGGCTGCTCTGTGTTTTCTCACTGGGATGCTCAGGTTGTCCTTCTTTTGTTTGCTCAGGATGGACTCATGCTGTCAGGAGAAAAAGCAAAATGGAGCCCACTGAAGGAGGCTCTGCTGAGACTGGAAGGACTGAAAACACAGTCCAGAATCCTTTATTGTTACACGGCCAGAGATTCTGAGCAGCTCACATCTGCTGGAAGATGAAGATTCTTGTCTATTTTGTATTAGATTGAAGTTAAATTGAACAGCAACTAACTAAAAAGTCCAAGTTATTGACTGACTTCAGGTCTGGTTAAAGGGGCAATATCATGTGAAATCAACTTATATGAGTTATATATCATGTAATATAGTTATCCTCTCATCAAAAACATACACAGAGTCTTGCTTTGACTCATTCATGCATGTTTGAGAAATCCTGCAGTGTCCTGAGGCAGGGGAGCAAAAACCACCGGTTGGGACTGGAACCGCCTTTTGGGACCAGCACCTCCTCTGGGCTGTGTCTCCTGTGAGCTTCCTCATCATAGAGCACACACACCCACCCGGCCCCGTGCTGAAGTGGGCGGGACAGAAGCAGAAGGAGGTTCTTAAAGAGACAGAGGCCAATAGCCTACAGTATATGCCACGGACTTCCGATTCTAGCACTTCTGTATTCTTTAGCCCCGCTCGGGTCTTCCGGTTCGCAGTCAACACAGTGTTAGCAAAAGATTTTTTCACCCGACAACGACTCTTAATGATCTCCACAGTACAGAATTAGCATATTACATGTACCAACATTAACACAGGAGACGTACAGGTCCAGCCAAGTGGAAAAAAATCACTCCAAAAGTGGATTAAAACATAAAAACAAAGGAAAGACGTTCGTGTTTATGGTTCCAGAATTTAGCCTTTTTCGCTATTCCTTGGCTGCTTGTTCTGTGAATTTTTCACGTAGAGCTGTGACACTTATATTGTTGGAAAGAGCAGAGTCTAGGCTTTAAATTTATGGGCTACTTTTATGGTTTGGATCGTTTTCCCCGACGTTGGTGAACTGAAAATGCAATGATTATCAGGCGGAGGTTCTGCGGCTCTTGGTACTCGGG